AGGCAAAAATGGCAGCTCAGACCTTCCAGGGTAAAGAGATAGGTTTGCTAAGTAGCTTTCTGCATAAAATTGAAGTATAAGATGATAATCTCACCAAAGTTATGTCATAAAAAAGGAAATTTAGATTAAAACATAAAGAATAATGGAGAACCCAGAAAGAAGTACCATACGTGCTCCAGATCTCATAACACCTTGATACAGTGATCCCTGCATCAATTTGGCAACATCTACAGCCATTGGTTCACCATCATTGTGAGATTCAGCTGCAACACCAATTTGGAGGATACATATGCAGTCATAAACAATGACTAGAGACCTACAACAACTAGCAGATGAAACAGATTCCCATGCCCTGTAAACAAAAGAACAACAGAAACTTTTAATTTTACAAATACAGAACACAATAAAAAGAAAAAAGCAAAAACAAATAAATGATTTTGTTCTTTCTATTACTTTATATTCATAAGAGCAGTAAAGCACTTTACATTAGTGAGTTCATTATGCTAGTGATTTCTCAATTCTTCAAATTAAAAATGAATAGACACTTTTTATAAGCCATTTTTTAACCATTCCATGAAAGTAAGGATCCTACGATCTCCAACTTGGGTTAAGTCAAGAGGGAGAATAAAAACCAATACTTCAATCTCAAAAGTACAAATATAAACTGTCTGACTAAGCAGAACAATGACATGCTAAGCAGAACTAAGACAAAATGTCCAATACCATAAAATCTCAGAAACAACAAAGTCAGGGAGCTGAGAATATATCATCTGACATTCTACACCTTCAGGATTTACCTGAAATCAAACCAAAAGAATTGAATTAATTCCATGGTTCTAGGAGGGAAGGGGGCAATAACTACTACTGAAATCAACTTCATGTGTTTGCACGAGCTTGTGTGTGCAAGCATGTTGCTTGCACCTGCCTGGTTGCCAGTGTAAGACAAGGAAAGAGGAGCATATGTAGAGCCCTTACCACAGTGATAGATTTTGGCCGGATTGACAACCAAACTAGCCCAGTTAAAATATTGGTCACAGCCAACCCAAGCGTCAGCAGATCTGTTCTGGACTGTGAACTGCCAGAAAGAATACACAGATATCTTATCATAGCTCCATTACATAACATGTTCTGAATAAAATTCTTAGTTTCCGGAAAATCAAGCAACCAAGTTTAACCGGAACAAGTTTCATTCTCAAATTTCTACAAAAACAGACATTCAACCTAACATTAGCTGAGCAATTAAATCGTTTAAAATGACAAGTAATCCTCCAAATTAACATAAATAGCAATGCATATATCACAGGATCAACCACCCAGAACAGGTTACCCAATATGGAACTCATATCGCAAGACACAGTATAATTTACAAAATTCCCACATCATTCAAACCAAAACCCTTCAAAACAAGATTTCTAGCTAAATTACCACAATATAATCACATCTAAGAGGACAAAACCAAAGCATTACCTGCTGGCATCGGCAACAGGAGCGATACCAGAGACGGTGCGGTTAAAGAGAACGGCCAAGAGAGAGATTCCTCCGGCGTAAATCGGCACGCTCCGGACAGCATCGTCGTTTTTGGAGACCCAATCGGCGATCCAGTCCCTGGTCGGCTTAGGTCCTGAGTATTTTGAAGAAACCCTAACGCAGCGCCG